AATGATGAAGAGGCTTCGAAGAAGCAGATGGCTGAAAAGAAGAATCCATACGGTACCAACAGTTGAGAGCAATATGATTATTCTTGCCACAAATCTGACATATAACAGAAGTAGAATTTGGTCGTCCACCTCTGCGGCCACGAGAAGGAAATCTGCCACCCCATGAATCAGTGCGATCTTCTCTGTGAAAATTGGTTCGATAAGTATTTCGAGAACTAGAATTCCGAGACTGTGATGAAGCAGTATTGGAAGTAGAGTAGGCTATGTGTGAATCAGAAGAAACTTTAGAAGCACTTTCAATATGAATAGCCTCAGAACAGAGAAGTGAAGACAGAACATCCATTGAAATTGGATTTGTTTTAGCTCTAATTGTAGTATTGAATGCACTGTATTCTGTTGGCAGACCATTGAGAGTCAAGAGAACTAGATCCTCATCATCAACGGGAGATCCAGCCAACGCCAATTGATCAGTGATATCCTTGATTTGTGCAAGATATTCCTCCATTGATGAAGAAGTTTTGGTGATGTTATAAAGCTTATTCTTAAGTTGCTGAATGTGTGATCTTGAAAGAGATGTGAATCACTTCTCAAGATTATACCAAACCTCAAAACTAGTTTTACAATAACATACAGAAGTAAAAATAGAAGGAGAAGGAGTTGCAGTGATACAACTCAGGAGATGAGCATCAACAGTGTGCCAATGAGTGAATTTAGGATTTAGAACACTCAAACCTACTTTGTCTGTGATCATTTCAGAAGGAGGAACAACAGATCCATCCACATATCCAAGCAGTCCAGTGGCACAAAGAATATTGAAGAGTTGATTTTTCCATACAACGAAATTGCTAACATCAAGCTTTACGGTGACAAATGCACTGAGATTTGAGACCAAAAGTTTTAGATTTGAATCAAGTTGAAATGAAGAATCCATGGAAGCCATGGAAGGACCTTCGAGCTCGCTAGAGCATTCCATAGGCTCTGATACCATAAAGAATATTTTGAATCTGTTCAACTTATTCATTCATACTTCAACTATTACACTTTATAAAGAAGTTTGTTACAACAGCTAACTCGACTACAGAAAACCTAACTATTAGCCCAACTTAGAGAGGTTACATTACTAACTTCTTTAACAGTAATTAGTTAGAAGTTAGTTATGATATTTGAGACTTGATCTTGTTTGCTGAGGCTCGATGGAGTGCTGCACAACAGACTCATCTTCTTCTTGCACTAGCTGAGATGTATTCTTACGCAAATTATCCTAAAAATCTAGGAAATAATGAACATGTGAATTAAACTAAAATTTAGAAAATAATGAACATATATATATTTTACTGAAAAAGTAAAAAATAATTTGCATGCACATTGCACATAATATTAGAACCAAACACCATGAGAAATATATTTATTATGTTAAATAAATTAGAACAGTAGACTAGATAGAACATTAGACAATCATTTACTTACATAAGCATGTAATTCTAGTCCATAGGCATTCTGAAAAATTCCTTCGATTATCGGGAAACAAACGTTTTCTCCTTTTATTTATTTATTTATTATTATTTGATTTTATATTAAATTAAATATAACAAAAGCAACAATAGTGTAGTATACAAAGGAAAATTAGAATTTGTAACCATAAACTTCATGTATGAAACAGAACTGTACGCATGCACATTTAATCTGAATATATTTAATCTATTTGTCTAATTTTATGAGAAATATATAATGTGTTAAGATTGTGGTTCAAAATGTTGAATTTAAATAAACATAAATAGGTTCATATTTAATTAAATTCGAATTATAGAACAAAAAATCATGTAACCAGATTATGTTTGAGATTACATCTTGATGAACGAAAATATATACTAAAATAAAATAGTATAGAAAACAAACTGAAACCTATGCGATACCACAGTCTCCTTAAAACAGATTCGCCACCTCACCGTGAGTGCTGGAGGTATGCCGGCATCTGTCTCTCAGGATATGATGACCTGCTAAGTCAGAAGCACCTTCTATTTAACTCCGGTGAACTGACAATTGCAGTACTTTCTCAAACAAGAAAAATATGATAGGAGCAGATTGACTATATAAGTTGAGAGAAAAATATTATGTACTTCAACTAAAGAGAATGGTCTCATTTTATACACAATGGGAGAGAGAAGAGTCTCCTAGCAGCAAATGCAGACTCCAATTTTGCAAAACTGAAGAACTAAATGCACCAAAACTGATGAGAAATAAGTGTATAAGTTACTGACTCTATATACACATATGTGTATATCTGTAGCCACCAAACATACCTAGTCCAAAAGAGATTAGGTTAGTGGGTCACCAACCCAACCCAACCCAGCCCAGCCCATTCCCCCAAGCCCAAGCCCAGTCTAGGTGGGCGGCGCGCTGCGCGGGGCATTTTTTGCATAAACTAACTTAGACCATAGATTTAGTCTAAGCATATCCTTAAAGCATCCATAACTCCCTTTTTTCGAAAAAATTGAATGCCCCAAAGAGTTCATGCCCTTACACAAACTTGAGATTTAAATACCCGTCAATACTTTCCTCTACAATCAATGTGAGATAGGTGGTTATACACCATTCCTAATACCTCATTCATGATATAAGACAATTTCTCTTTCAATTCTCAATAGTTTTCGGTCATTATTTTTGCGATGTAAATATTTTGTTTCAAAGAATCTAAACTTATTTGATCTCACCTCAACTGGTAGTTGGATCCCACTTCAACTGGTAGCTGAGACTCACTTTAATTTCACATTAAAATTACCATAATACCATTTTTCCAACATTATCAACTAGGTTAGACACTTTAGAAGTTAACAATTCTATGATCAATATCAAATATTTGAAGTTTGATCTTAATAAGAACATAAAGAAAATTTCTGGCATAGTGTTATTTCTAGTGCAATGGTATTTCTGATACAATAATAATGGTTGCTGCTTTGGATTTGTTTGTCTTGGCCTTTGAAAGCAAAGGTTAGTTTGTATGGAAGCTTGGGCTCAAGGTGTGGGGCTTATGAATCTATTCCTAGTTGTTTCCTGCTGCTAAGAGCAGGATTAGTCTTGGGGTGTTTATTTTGGGTGTTTTGTGTTTTTTACTTTCTTTGTTTCCTTATTCTTGGCTGGCTGATTGGATCCTCTCCAATCATGGATGTAGTGCTAACATATGATTGAGCTACCTCTTCGTTGCCAACCTAGTTGGGATTGTTGAGTGTGGTTATGATGCTTGTTGCACCGCCCTTCTTTATTAATGTAAGTCCTCTGTTGTAATTTTTCCTTCATTAATAAAGTTTCTCTTATGCTGATAAAAAAAAAAAAGAACATAATGAAAATGGCAAGAGAAACCCAAAGTGGTGTTCAATCATTTTTGTTGACTTTTGGATTGGTTATCCACGAGGAAGGTGGGGTAGCTGAGAGGTAAAAAATAGAATTGAATCATGATTGATAAAGAAGAGGAATACTCAAGAGGGTTGGGGATCCTTGTGCACTAATCAAGTTAAATGCAGTTAGAGATTGTTGTGTGGGAAGAGCAAGTAACAAAGGACAACAATAGAATCCGTTTAAAATGGTTTTTTCAAGTGCAACAAAGATTGTTGCAACTGCAATTAACCTTTAAGGCATTTCAATTTATTGCCCATGCTCAAAATGTCATGTGCACGTCATATACCAATCAAGTGAGAACGCAGACCCCTCTACACCATGATGTAAATCACCTAAATTAGGTGGACTCTTGAACTACATCAGTATGTAACTTTATATATTACACGAGGGATGTTGGTGTTTTATGGGTTGAGTATGTGATATTATTAATGCCTTGGTCTTAAACCATGAATGTGACTTCACATAGACAGGAGTGAAGAAAATGAATACATGTAGTTGACCCCAATAATTCTCAATAAATTCATAAATCATACAGATAGTTAATTGTGGGGTTCACTTCATATGTTAGAGAGCATAGGCTTTATGTTGTTTTTTGTGTGTATGTGTTTTTGTGTGTGTGTGTGTGTGTGTGTGTGTGTGTGTGAGAGAGAGAGAGAGAGAGAGAGAGAGGAACTTGCCAAATGCTAATGCGGACTGTATGGCAATGTGAAGAAAAAGTACTGTTCAGACAACACCTGAGACAGTCTCTTTTGATAAAATCCAAATTGATGAAAACAACGTAAGCTTGGATAATCCACCCTGGAGAGGCTTTTGATGTCCTCACAAAAAGATAACTACAGTAGCAGCAGTTATAGTGGGCTTCCTTTTCAAATGTTTGCCTCTTATAGTAGTAGTTCTTTATATTATTAGCCACTACCACCACCATTTGTCCCATTGCCTGTGTTATTGTGTGCAACACACAGGACTGACTGGCCATGGGGCCTTCCTTCAAAGTTGTTGCCTGTTTTTCATTGAGGGCTATTGAATTATTTACCACCAACTCATTTAAAAGTGGGTCAAACATGTGCAAGTATTTTTTATTATTCGGTAGGCTATGAGGTTCGAACGCAGGATTTATTGTTGCTCTAATATCATTTGAATTGTTAACCACTAACTTATCTAAAAGCTTAAACTATTAGAGAGAGGGGCAACTTTATTATTGATATTCTCAACAAGGGCCATCTGCTCTAGCTAACACTTGATCTTGACCTTGTTTTAGTACATTTGACAAAAAGTTATTACTTCCTCAATTAGCATGAAACATTGAATGTTGTATTATCTGGTTTCTTTTTCTCATAATTTTTTTTATGCCTTTCTATTTTCCTAAATATTGTTATATTTTCTTTCTCTGATCTGATTAGTACTGTATGATTGAAGCTGGTGGGGTTCGGAAAATGATCATCATGAAATAAAGTCATGATACAGTCTTTGAATTGTCTTTGGGGCTACAATAGATATCATTTTCACATATTTTCCTTCACAAGAAGCTGAATAATTATGCGGCGAGTAGAGCTGGAAACACTCATATTCAAGCATGGATATATTTTTGAGAGTGTGTGAGCCTCCAATTAGCCTGGTTGAAAGATGTTTCTGATAGCATACCAAATACTGATAAACATCCATAAAACACAAGTGAAATGACTCAAAAAAAAGAAAAAGAAAAAAGAAACAAAAACAAGTAGATAGAAAAAAAAAGGACTGTCTCAGTGAAGCAGATTTGTGGAAGCAGGGATGAATTGGTTGGAAGATTCAGCTCTGAGATGAGCTGTGTTGCAGTTGACCTCCTCGAGATCTCTGAGAGAAGGGTAAGGACTACCAATTTGGAGACCATTCAGCATTTGGTGAAGGCCAGAGGCTTCTTCTTTGAGCCTTGCATTCTCTTGAAGGATCATCTCATGACACTCAGACATGTGGTTCAACTTGTCTATGAGATTGTGATTCTCAGTTCTTAGCCGGACCACCTGTGACCATAGCTCATCGAGGTGCTTCTGTTTCCTCATCCGTGACCTACGGGCAGATTCTCTGTTGGATATCATCCTCCTCTGCCTCCTTTCGTTGATGATGCTTAGTTGGTGCTCCTCTGCTTCGTCAGAGGTCGAGTTGTTGCTGAGGCACGAGGACAGTTGAGAATTTGGTGAGTTGGTTGGAAATATGCTGCAATTGTTTTGCATCATGGAAAAGTTGGTTGGAAACGGAGACTGGTTATCTGAAGTTAGGTAGTGGATTGCTGCAAGCTCATAGGGAAGCATGGCTAAAATCTATATGATGCTGGTTGTGGTTACTTGGAAAGGTGGTTGGTTTTTGCAGAGAACAGAATTGATAGGGTGGGGGTGAATAGCATGAAAATTGGTTGGGTTTTATAGGAGGAGAAGGCATGTTAGTGGGCCAGAATGAGCAACAAATAGCAACAGTATCAGGGGCTTACCAAAGCACAACTTCGACAACATATGCATAGCAATAGCACTTCAAATATATGTATGGTATGTATATTCAACTATGTATGTTGTGTGTTTAAATCTTAAACATGTTTGAGCCACTTCATCAATTCACCTAAACAACACCTAGATGGCCCAGGATCCTGTCCATTGTCCCCCATTGCATTCCTAACATAAAAATCTGAAGACAAATATCAAATAAGTGCAGTTTCTTACACATTGAAATTTGATTATCAGAAAGTTTAATTAAAAGAATTTATTTTCCTGTGCCATGCATAAAAAGTTTAACATAAAAATCTGAAGACAAATATCACTATAAAAACGAGGATATCATGGATGCATGTATGTATTTTCCTGTGCCATGCATGCAATCCACTAATGGATAATTTAGGTTTTGGATAATCATGGAAAATCAGACGTAATGCTCACCAGAGAGAGAGGGAGAGAGAAAAAAAAACAAAAAATATATATATATATGTGGGGAGTATAATTATATAGGTGGGTGGAATGTTTTGGAAAAGAAGAAAGAATAATAAATGGAAATGAGATATGGTCTTAAAAGTCAATTTCAGAGTCATATTTAAAACTCTTTCAGCCAATTACACCTAATGATTGATGACGAAATCTAGGTCAGATCACAAAGTAAGAAATTGTTAAATCAAAATGGAATTTTGATGACCATTTTAATAATAATTTTGATGACTCAATGGCCACTTCGAATTTGGTTACAAGGGACCCATCATAGTGCCATCATCAAAATAGTTAATTTCAACTCAAGTACTTGAATTCAGGCATGTCATTATTTTTATTATTATTTATTATTTAGTTTTTTTTTCCCCCCAAAGGTGCCATTAAGCTGAATTAGGCAAAAGTCATGAACACTTAATTTAAATTAACTTGTGAAGAACTCTCATTATCATTTTTATTTTCATTTGTTATATTTGGCTCACCGGTTGGGTTTGTCTGGTTATTTTTTTTATTTGATTTGGTTAGCACAACAAAATTGAGTTTTTACGGCACCAAATACACGTTGTGAATATAATTTTAGAACGCGCAACGCAAAACCATGTTATAACCGGTCATGGAAAGTCATTTACTTCAACGGCAAACTGTAATACGCTGTTAAAAACCCTTTAAGGGCAAATCTTGTATGTCATGTTTGATTTTTTTTTTACAACTACTTTTGCACATCGTTAATTCAAAGGACAAACTACGACGTTTATTGCTAGTCGTTAAATATTTAATACAATGACTTATTTTGCCTGTCGTAGATAATCCAAATTTCACAATTTTTTTTGCATGCCGTAAAATATGTATATATATATTTTTTATTCAGTAGGTTCTATTTCATTTGTTCTATAATCTTTAAATATATATATAAAAAAAAAAGAAATCACAAACAAGCTTCACAAACATATATATATATATATATATATAAGTATCAATTAACCACCAAAATATTGTTGCAAACAATTAAAAAAATAAAAATAAAAATATTTATAAGTTCTGAATATCCAAAAACTTTACATTCCAAAACCATCCAAAAATTATATTTCTAGACATCAAAAACTATTCTCAAGTTCGAAACCGTCCAAAAAAAAAAAAACTATGCTTAAATTTTAAACCATACAAAATTTACTTAAATATCTTCTTGTGAGTGGACTATATGGGTTGATTTAATTGCATCAACACTTGGCTTGTGACCTCCATATCTCTGCATTAGAAAATTTCTAGCAACTTGGATTTTGTCTTTAGAAGCTTCCCTTCTTAGAGCAACCAAGCTTGAAACAACATTAGTATAAAGAATATATATTGGACCATAATCATGGATAAAGTACTAGTTCCCAACATCAACAGAAAGAGCATAAATTAGACCAAAAATAGATACATTTTAGTTTTCAATGTATATAATAATCCCATATACTCACCTTGTGCACACTACATCTTAGCCGAGGCTTAACCATTTCTTAGGCTGAACCGAAGTAAGTGTAGGATTCTATACACCTAACATAAGCCATGCCATATGATGCAAATGAGTAATAATTCAAAATGCTTGTAATATTGAATCACAATGTTTAATTTCACTCAAAATTATATCATGAGCACATATGGTAATACATGAACGCATTATGCAACAAAACAACGACAAGTCTATGAATTTTTGGATATTATCCCCTTGGAATTAATTCTTGAAATTGTTACTCAATAATGAAAACTCATGGTAGAACATCATACTAAACTTTCATGATTTTCTTATGTCATAAAATATTTTTAAAAATTCAACATAGTAAGCTAAAAATAAAATTTTGCATAACAGTCAAACTTACAGCACTTAGTGCTTGATTTTTATATTTCCTGGATATCAATTTCTTTTTTTTTTTTTTTTTTTTTTTTTTTTTTTGATCGGCAAAAGGAAAACTTTATTGATGGAAAAGGAAAATTACATCAATAAAGTGGAGCTTGGAGCTAAAACAAGCTCCAACCTCCAAGTTGGTGAGAAACCAACGAGCAAACACAACAGAGAAAAAAACCAGAAAAAACAGATAGCTAAGGCACTACATCACCCAAAAAGGCACAGATTTTCTGGGCTATATGCCATGAATACCCACAGCTCAAACAAAGCATACCAAACACCTAGCCTTGAACAGTTGATAAGATGCTTCAAGTTTGACCCAATGTTGTCCTTGGAGTATATAACAGCAGCCAACTGTGTGTATCAAATATCAGATTTTCTGAGCTTGCAGCAGCCCCACTGTGTGTATCACATATCAGAACCAGCATTCACCTACTTACTCAATTAACTACAGCAGACCCATTGTAACCCATTGTGACTATCAATTAATTTTGAATCTTCCTCCTCTGCACAGTCCAACCCAGAAACAGAATTAGGCTGCAAAAATCCAGCAAGAGTCAACCTGGGAGCTAAGAAGGCAAAATGATAATAACAACCATAAAGTAGCCCACTGTGTGTATCAGATAGGCTTCCCATGAACCATTTGCCTTCCCACCATAGCAGACCAAAATTCATCCATAGCAGACCAAAATTCAAACACAAATAGATCAACACAGCACATCTCCAGAAGGCACCATAGCAGAACAACAAACTTCCAAAATTTCTAAGCCTAGTTACTCCACACAGCACAACCCTCAGGTGGATTAGCCCCCAGCTGGCCCCTCAGCAGTGCAATAGCTCCAACTGCACTCCAGCCATACGGCATTCAGAGCATAACAGACTATTCTTCATCACATCAGTAATTGAAACCTCCTCTGCTTTACCCCACCAAAGCTGCAGAAAGTCACCAAGATCCCATTCAATCTGCTGCAGAAACTCCTAAGCCAAGCATCTTCTAATCTGTTGCAAATTATGCACTAGGTCATTGACAGTGAAGTTCAAAGCTGGGACATAGGACTTAATCCACAAAGCAATTCGAACCTCAATAGATTCACACAAAGCTAGAAAATTAGGCTCCACCCCATTGAACACAGAGTCATTCCTCTGTTTCCATATGGACCAGAAAATAGCATATGGAATTACACTCCACAGCTTCTTTTCCAGTTTCCTCATGCTACAACCCGACCACCACTGAATAACACTCTGAACAGAACCTGGTGAAGCCCATTGCCACCCCCACCTTCTGACAAAATAAGACCAGATCAGCCACACACGAGGGCAGTGAAGTAACACATGGTTAATAGTTTCCTCCTCTTCTTTGCAAAAAACACAAGGCACGCATTTCAAGAACAGGTATTTTTGGTGTTGTACGGGGAAGAAATAATTCTCCTCGTATAATATTTTTATAAATGTTCCCCTACCCTGAACTGTTGGAAAATTAAATTGTTGTTTCATGATTAAACTGTTTTGATAAATTATTATATTATCAATTGAATCAAATTATTTCTGAAACATGTGTGAACTTGGCATACTGTAAACTATTTGTTTTGGTCTCATGTTTATAATGATGAACTACCATGTTTTGCAAAACTGATGTGTATTGATTATTGGGACCATGTGTGTATTTAGTCCAGGGAAATTATTCCGCAGTGTGTGGTGACTCTAGCTACTAGGGAACAGATCCGGGTTGGGCCGTGATGACTCTAGTGCTCAACGATTGTAAGGAAAAGACCTTTAAAAACAACTAGGTGACCTTCAATCGGATCGACTTTGAGAAAAGGCCCAGGTGCCACCCTGAGAAAAGGCCCAGGACTCAATTGCATGGACCTCTAGGGCATTTATTTAATTTGTTTTAGGTTGCTTGTCGAGTTTTGTGCATACATTGTGGTTGAGTTTTATTTAGAATTATTTTATGTTGTGGGCGGTTTGTGTCCCATTTAGTATATATATATTTTTAGGAAGTTGGTTATGACTTGTTTTTCAATTGTGGCATGTCACTGGATTGAGTTTTGATTTATTTATTTCTGAGCTATCATCACATTTATTCTTTGTGGTTTTGGGTTCATGTTTAGGCTTACATGTGCCTTGGGCTAAGTCCCTATGGGCCACGGCCGGTCATGCCCGGATTTGGGGTGTGACAGTTCTTAATCCATAATTTCATCATTGAGTGGCATTGGTCCCTGTAGGTATCAATTCCAATAATAAGACACATTGCCTCTACTTTAGAACACCATTTCAGCACTTAAAAAAATAGCAACAAGTCATATGATGGTTCCGGCAACTAAGTTTTCCAAAAGCATACTATGTTTCTAAAGGCTATCAAACATCACACATTTATAACAAGTGCAATATCAAGTTCTCATTTTTGTTTCACATTCCCGTAATAATCCATATTCCAATTACCATTATGCCAGAAAGAGGAAGAAAATTTACCTTGGGTCCCTTCACAGTTAGGTAATCACCTTCACGCATCTCTCGAAAATGGTAGGCCATCCTTCCTTGTGGATACATCTAATTAATATCAACATTCAAAAACACAAAAGCAATCTAAATGGAATGAGAACTAGATAAAACTAAATCAGAAGTAGTAGATAAACTAGTAGAACATTTTAGAGCTACCTTTATAAC